GGTAACTTGACGTCAAGTTAGCGAGACATTATCACTAAAAATGTCGGTAGTGATGAGTTGAGTGAATGGAAATTTGCCGTTTTTTTGCCGCTAATTAGTTGTGAAAACCAAAAATTTGTCGCTTCTTTTTTTTACAAAAAATCAAGTTTGAAAAAAAAATCATGTGTTTCGCTAACTTGACGTTAAGTTAGCGAGACATCACTAAAAATGTCGGTATAGTGATAAGTTGAGTGAATGGAAATTTGCCGTTTTTCTGCCGCTAATTAGATGTGAAAACTGAAAATTTGCCGCTACATTTCTTTTCATAAGAAAATCGTGTTCGAAAAGAAAATAAATGTTTGGCTAATTTAACGTAAAGTTAGCGAGATCACTAAAAATGTCGGTAGTGATAAATTGAGTGAGTGGAAAATATCGCGTTTGAAAAAAATATCATGTGTTTCGCTAAGTTGACATCAAGTGAGCAAAACATCCCAAGTAGCACTCCCATGTTGGGCCAATATTGGGACAATAACTACGATTTATTGGCCCAAGTCAGATTCTCTATGTTGGCCCAATAAAAGATGTGGACATTCTGCTATATTTGTCCAAGAACGTATGTCAATATATACCCAAAAACAAACACCAACGTTGGTACAATAACGTAACCAAATGTTGGCCCAAAAAGAAATAATCAATATCATATCAAGAACTTTATGCAATATAGAGCCAATTGAAATTACCAATATTGGCCCGAAGACGTATGTAAATCTTGACTTTATATTATATTTAATTAAGGTAACGGACCAATTATAAGGACCGACTAAGAAGTGTTTTCTCTCTGCCGGACCATCCGTGGACCCGTTTCGCTGTATCACAAGTCATCAGCATGGTTAAGTCCCGCCAGGGTCCCGCAGAGAGAAAACAACCAATTTTTGGCTTCATCCTGGAACCAGGTTTAAGACAGGTAAAGTGAAGACAGAGTCTCCATCTATTTTTTGGTCGGCACACCAAGTGCGCACATTGAATACTCTATATTGGACCAACGTTTTCAATTCAGAAAATCTAACCTTGGTAAAAATTAGTATGTAAATATTGGCCCTTCATTGGGTTTTTCAAAAAAGTATCAATATTGCGAAAAAATTGGAAATAAATATTGGGTATACAAAGTTTTTGAAGTGAATTTAAATATCAATAAAAAATTGAATGCCAATATTGAATTAATATTATATTACAATATTGTTTCGATAATATAAAATGTAATATTTGGCCAATATTTCATAAATCAATATTGTAGTGAAAAGTCTTGGGCCAATATTCAAATTACTGAAGAGTTAATTAATCTACGAAAACAATATTGGTACAAGATTATTTTTAAATATTGTTTCCACATAGTTAAAACTAACGTTGCCCCAATATTGGTACTGTGTTGATTTATCAACAAAAATGAATAAATATTGGCCCAACTGAAAAACGATGTTTACCCCATATTATATGCTACTTGGGCAGTATGTATCATTAAAAATGTCGGTAGAGAAAAATTGAGTGGTAGAGAAAAGCTGTGGAAATTTGCCGCTTTTTGCCACTAATTAAATGTGAAAACCCAAAAATTTGCCGCTCTTTTTCTCTATGAAAAAATCGTGTTTGAAAAAAACTTGTGTTTCGCAAGCTTGCCGTTAAGTTAGACCGACATCATCACAAAAAACGAAGGGCACTATAAAATTAGGTGAGTAAAAGGGTGTTCCGTTATAAATGATCTCCCACCCTTGATTTTTATGCACCCTGTAAGTATTTTAATTAGTGAAACTCAACATTTGTTGGAACAAATATTTATTTCTAAATTTTTTGAGAATAGTTTTTCAGTTTTTTTTCTTTAGCTCAGGAAAACTCTATTGGAGGCCTTATAGGTTTCAAAAATCAGAAAGCGAAATATCGTGTGCTCATTTATACAGAAAATAAAATAAAATTAGAAATAAAATTAAATTGGGATAAAATGGAAATTATCGATAATTTTTGGCAAATTTTCCCGAATGCATTTTTAGTTGAAAAAAAGCACGAGCGACGAGTGCCTTTTCCAGTTAAAAATGCATGAGAGCAAATTTCTCAAAAATTATAGATATATTTCCATTGCTCGAGTTGTATTTTATGAGAGAATTTCATGAATCAAAAATATAAATTTTTAGTATATCCTCGTAAGTATAAAATGTCACCAATCAGAAAAAATGTCAAATGCCACCTGTTAGTAAGCAATTATCCAATCCTATAATCCTGCACTAGTACAAATTATCACTTAATCGTAATCTGATTGGTTGAAATCAACAATTAAAAAATGCCAGTTTATGCATGCGATCTGTGTCATTTGCGCGACAACCGTTTGCGCGAGGGAGAAAAGCGCGATACGAAAAGCGCGATACGAAAAGCGCGAGGGACAAAATCACGACGGAACAAAAACGCGACAGAACAAATGCGCGATGGACAAAAACGCGACTGGATTAGAAGCGCGAGGAACAAAAGCGCGAGGGACAAAAGCGCACGACTGCGCAAAAACGCGACTGGATAAAAGCGCGAGCGACAAAGCGCGAGGGGACAAAAGCGCGACAGAACAAAAACGCGACTGGATAAAGCGCGATTGGCCAAAAACGTGAAGTGCCTTACTACGAGAACTGAAGATCGTTTTCCAAAATACAAGATATTTTCGGTGGCTCCGGTTCAAAAGAACGATATTTAAAATAGCAACATCAAAAAGGCGACACATTGTTAAAGCGATATATCAAAATAGCGACATTTGGAACAGCGATATTCAAAATAGCGACATCTAAAAAAACAGCAACATATCAAAAGAGCGCCATATGTAAAGAACGAGATTTAGAACAGTGACAAATTAAAAGAGCGACATTTACAACGACGACCTCTAAGCAAAAGAGGGAAACATCAAATTGTTCCAATATTAATCAAAATTATGTAGACTTACTCAAACTAACCCGTCCGTCTAGGGCAATCTCGTCCTCGTGAGTTAGCATTTTATTTAAAAAGCACTGCGCTCTCAAGAGACCCTGAGCAATCAGTGAATTAACTTTGTTTTTTTACATAAAATGCTTACGAGGACTAGATCGTACTAGGTGGACGGGTTATTTTGGGTTAGTTTGAGTAAGTGTGTATGGCGACATCAATTTGAACCAATGATAATAAAGCAAATACAGACTTGCTCAAACTAACTCAAAATAACCCGTCCGCCTATTGCGATCTAGTACTCGTAAGTTAGCATTTTATTCAAAAAAACAGTCAATTTATTTATAGCGTAGGGTCCCTTGACCGCGCCTTGTTTTCAAATAAAATTCTATTTAACGAAGACTAGATCGCACTAGGCGAACGGGTTAGTATAGGTTAGTTTGAGTAAGGCTGCATTTTTCTGAATATTATTGATACAATTTGATGTGTCCCTCATCTCTTGCTTACAGTCCTCGTAGATAGTTAGATACCTCGCGTTGTTGTCCAATCGTGCTTTATTCCAGTCGCGTTTTTGTTCCGTCGCGCTTTTGTCCCTCGCGCTTTTAGTATCGCGCTTTTCTCCCTCGCGCAAATGACACAGAGCCCAGTTTATGGTTCGAATACCAGTTTTGACAGATGAATGACATTTTCTACCGACATTTTTATTGATACTGTTTTGCTAACTTATGTCAAGTTAGCGAAATACATGATATTTTTTTCAAACGCGATATTTTCTTGTAGAAAAAGAGCTAATTAGCGGCAAATTTCCACTCACTCAATTTATCACTACCGACATTTTTAGTGATCTCGCTAACTTTACGTTAAATTAGCAAAAGACTATTTTATTTTCGAACACGATTTTCTTATGAAAAGAAAGGTAGCGGCAAATTTTTAGTTTTCACATCTAATTAGCGGCAAAAAAACGGCAAATTTCCATTCACTCAACTCATCACTACCGACATTTTTAATGATATTGTCTCGCTAACTTGACGTCACATGATTTTTTTTTCAAACTTGATTTTTTGTAAAAAAAAAGCGGCAAATTTTTGGTTTTCACAACTAATTAGCGGCAAAAAACGGCAAATTTCCATTCACTCAATTTTTCACTACCGACATTTTTGGTGATAATGTCTCCCTAACTTGACGTCAAGTTAGCGAAACAAATGATTTTTTTTTAAACTTTATTTTATATGAAAAAAAAAACCGGCAAATTTTTGATTTTCACAACTAATTAGCGGCAAAAAAAACGGCAAATTTTCACGTACCTAGTTTTTTAATGCTGACATATTTAGTGATGTTGTCTCGCTATCTTGACGTCAAGTTAGCAAAACACGTAATTAAGAAAAAACCAAAAGAGCGGCAAATTTTTTAATTCCACATTTAATTAGCGGCAAAAAAGCGGCAAATTCCTGGCATAATGGAAAATCGATTTTTCGAAGTTGTCTCGCTAAGTTGATAGACATAAACTTAAGAACGTCGGCAATGAACACTACAACTGGCCAATGCAGCATCTTATCAGAAGGACTAAGGTATTACAATCGAATTCCAGAATCTGTTAAAAGATTGAACATAACTTGTTTCAAGTGTAAGTTGAAGCAGCTGATCTTCAATGGTGAATGTTTGGGTTAGTTTTTGATTTGAAATTTACAAGAATTATAAAATAGAGCCTCTTTTATAAGGGAAAATAAATTAGAATTGGATTTTGAGCCCAGAAGCAAAGTTACAAACAAGCTTTATAACATTAAAAAAATAATCAAAATAACATTTTTTAAATTATTCAAAGGAAAAATTTCAATAACCAATACCTACCTACAATGTTAAATTGATGATGATAAGACTATCCAAAGTCTCAAATAAACATAATTATTGAATTACATTTTTATCAGAATAGCCACAAGCAAAAATAATGATAAAAAATTATTGCAATTGCAATTTATAGCAATCTTATAGCAATTTATCTATTCAGAACAAATAACTAATAGTCACTCATCATTTTAGAATCAATATACAATCCCTAAAAATCTCTGGTTACTTACAGGTAGATCGTGAAAGGCAGTTCCCAAGTGATGACCGTTTTTTGTATAAAAACAGGTATTGTCAATGAGATTGACACCGCAACCGATCACATCTCCTGTTGTGAATGTAGGCCCGTACGGCTGACCGGTGCCGGACGAACAAAAAGAGTGACCATCGTCACCGTGATAACCGTACGATTGTTTGTCCCATCCTGAAACAAGGACTATCATAAAAATATCGTTAAATTTTACTAATTTAAAGATTTTTTTGCTTTTAACAATGTAATTATTGTGATAAAGCATTGTCTCAATGTGTTTCTACAGATTTCTGTAAAGCAAATTGAAATAAAGTACCAAATTCAGCCATTGACAGATAATGTTTTATCACTCTAGCATAAAAAATAAAATAAAAAAATTCAGGGAAAGGTATACTAAAAATATGATTTTTAATACCCCTGTGACGTCTACGTCCCGCGTTACCTGGCAATCTGTTCAAATTCACCCCCTGAGCCGACAAACCGATGCCCATGTAACCATCGCGGCCTTTGCTCACAATTTTCACTTCGAAATAGTACAATCCGCAAGCGGCCGGTATCGGGTAAGTGGCCTGGATGCTGGCCGCGTCCCTGTGCGAATTTCCATGACCTAGAAAAAAAGAAAATTCAACCCTAAATTACAGAAATATGAAATTTCTATTGAACAACAAACTGTGAAACTTATTCCAGACACAAGGGCCTGGAGCGAGAGATGATTGTCCTTTAAGGGCCGTCTAGACGGTTTTTGTTGGAGTGAGAAACTTTTATTATTGGAAAAAATTATTTTGCAATATGGGCATAAATACTTGTTTTAATATACAGGGGCGGAGATGAAATGCATTGTAAATAAATTCATAGTTCAATCAGTGCGTGTCGTATTAATTGCACATTTTTAATTTATTTAGCTTTCATTTTTTAAAATTGAGTAATTACATTTATTTGTTGGCAATTTTACAGGATTTTGGAATTAAATGTGCAATACTTATATAAAATCATTTGATTTGTATCATGCCAACCCTGATTTGGGACTCTTTCACAATTTAAATTAAACCACAAATTGATATGATGCTCAAAGAGGGATTTATTGTATTTATTTCCACTTAAAACTTAAAATGTCCGTAAAATTACCTTAAAATGTGTGTTATAAAAACTTGATTCCATATTATTATTATTAACTTAAAACTTTTGAAATTCAATATTTGGGGTTTCCTTCACAATTTCAAATGAACCAGAAGTTGATATGATTGATTTAATCTCTAAGAAAATCATCAAATTTCTTAAAAACAATACAAATAGTAACTCAAGGCTGAAAAAATCCACATTAGAATGTTAATTTTCATTGTTGCTTGCACCTTGAAAATTAATCACTATGAATATTTTCTTTGTTGCTACCTATCAGTCGAAAAAAATAACAAACAAATTCAGCACGCCTCTGATATAGGACGGTCCTCGACCCTGCTCTTCCATCCTGATCCCAGTATATTCAACTTGGCCATTATAAACGAAAAGAAAAAAAAACTCGTATATCCTTGTTCAGCGTAGGCCTTAAGTATAAAAATTTAAAATCAAAACAATATAAAGAATTAACTGATATACAATTTGCTATCAAAATCCTGTGTAGCAGTATAATCAAAAACAATGAACCAAGCCCAAACAAACTAAAATTAGGTGCTGACCCAGAAACAAGAGATTGAAATGAAATGGAGCGAGTTAAATGATGATGGATATTTATTTACAAGTAATTTTCAATTGTAGATCAAATGATTTTTTGGAATAATAAACTAAAGAACTACAACATAATATATAATTGTTAATTTACATTGAAGTTGATTTGTATAAATAAATAATGCATTTCATTTAGTAAATATGTTTATTACAATAGAAAAGTCCTTGGTGTGTGATGTTTGTTTGCTTTGTTGTGATTAGGTTTATAATGTCAGGATGTTGAAACTACAATTCGATGCATAAAAAGTGTCTCACTTATTTCAAAACTCATACAATTTCCACGCATTTGCAAAAGCATATTCATGAGGACGTCAGTAATAAAACTTGATGTCTATTTAAAACTATTGCACGAAAATCGATTCATTTTAACCGGCCAAAATACAGTGTTTCATCTAATTATTGCAATAAAAATACACGCAGTTTCACAATTAATCAGCGTCTAATAACAGATGCATTAATGACTGTTAAATGAGTAAATGATGGAATTTTTATTGATTAAATTTTCAACTGCATAAAAGTGAACATTTCATAATAATTATTGAATAAAACTTATTTTAAAAGAGACAGTTATAAATGTGATGAAACAATCAACTACATTAGGTGAAAGCTTGGCTTGCAAACGGCAATAATTGGAATCTCATGACATAAAGGCAGTTATAATGTTAATGTAGGTTGCGTTCGATTATAAAATGTTTAGAGGCGTCAGCAATGGAAAAAAAGAAAAACTAATGGGTATTTAATTTTCTCCCGAGTAAATACACAGTTGGGTTCCATTTTCAAGCTTTCTTATCCTCTCTGGGAAATGTTTAATTATAGGTATACAATAGGTATACACAATTATTCAAGTTTCTTTGAAAAATACTTGAGCAATCAGAAATTCAGGACAACTTGAAAGTTTCAGGATTTACAAATTGGATCTATTGGATAAAAATCGAAGTAAAAATAGACAACCATTATAATTTAATGGAAATAAGAAGAAATATTGTAACTATTGAATGTAATAATTATATTATTGATATAGGTGTTCATCTATTCATTTATTAGATATACCTTGCAAACACTTAAAAAGTTATTAAAAATTCAAGGAAGTTGTAGTTGGATATCTAGATTTTATTGAAAAACTACTTGAGCTTGAGGTCATGTTTCTTATATTATTTAAATGAAAAATAAGTTGACCTCAAGCTATTTAACTGATAAACTTTATACAATTAGTGAATCAGTCCATTCTTATCCAACTATAATAGAAACATTTTGTACATTACAAAAAAATTACTTAAAACACATACACGGCCACGCGTCACACATATGTGACAAACAGTTTTTTCCAGGAACTGATGTTACACATGTGTGACAATGACCCTACAATGATTAAATGCAAATAACTCCCAGGCGGTTTAGCAGCGAAGGACGTGTTTTAGCGTCAGTTTCTGGGGGTGTTTGGCACCCATTTGTGTTGCATGGTTTCAGGATTGGATGATTGATTTCAATCATAAGCTTGTGGCGGCTGCAGTTTATATTGTCTTCTAACTATTACAGATTTCTGTTGTTTCTAGACACTTATAATAACAGTTCTACCAGAGTTTGACGTTACAAGGTGGTTCTCACTGGATATTGAACAATAATTACCGCCTATAGCTTAGCCGAGTGTCTAAAACAGCTAATTCTTCATGTCACACATGTGTGTCGCACGGTTTTCTATTATGACAAGTGGGTAATTTCAATGGGAAACTTACCGGAAACCGATGTCACATATGTGTGACATCAAATATAAATACAAAAAATAGATAACAAAACACAAATATAACTGGTATAAAATATATTATTTCTGTCAAAAGTTATGCCTACCCAAAAAAACGCGGCCGGTTTCAAACATCGTCCAATTTCATAATAGCGGTCGTGAACGTGTTAATTGAAGTTTCCTCTTTGTGGAAAAGTTAATTAGAAGTTCCAAACTGAATTTAGAAGCTTTTTCTCATATTAATTGCATGCATTACTGACTAGAATATGCAAAAATCACTTGTGCAAAATACTTCTAATGATCACAGTGACTTCGAACTTTCAGGATTTATGTATTGGAGTTTCCTCTTTGTGGAAAAGTTGACTTGAAGTTGCTTTGAAGCTCCAAACTAAATCGAGAAGGGTTTTTTCACGTTGATGCATGCAAAAATAATTAAAATTTGCAAAAATCACTTGTGCAAAATACTTCTAATGATCACAATGACTTGAAACTTTTAGGATTTATGAATTCAAGTTACCTCTTCATGGAAAAGTTAATTTGAAGCTGATTTGAAACTCCAAACTTTTCTTCTTGCGGAAAAAATAATTTAAATTTGATTTGAAGCTCCAAATTAAATTTAGAAGATGTTACGTTAATGCATGCAAAAATGATTAAAATCTGCAAAAATCACTTGTGCAAAGGACCTACTTCTAATGATCATAATGACTTGAAACTTTCAGGATTTATCAATTGAAATTTAATCTTTGTAGAAAAGGTAATTTGAAGTTGATTTGAAGCTCCAAACTAAATTTGGAATTTTTTCTTACGTTAATGCATGCAAAAATGATTAAAATCTGTAGGTAAAAACCCTCGTAAAAACCACTTGTGCAAAGTTCTTCTAATCATCACAGTGACTTGAAACTTTCAGGATTTATGAATTGAAGTTTCGTTTTTGCGGAAAAAATAATTTGAATTTGATTTGAAGCTCCAAATTAAATTTAGAAGATCTTACGTTAATGCATGCAAAAATGATTAAAATCTGCAAAAATCACTTGTGCAAAGGACCTACTTCTAATGACCACAATGACTTGAAACTTTCAGGATTTATGAACTGAAGTTTCCTCTTTGTAGTAAAGTTGATTTGAAGCTCCAAACTAAAATTAGAAGCTTTTTCTTACGTTAATGCATACAACACTTATTAAAATATGCAAATATCCCTTGCGCAAGTACTTCCAATGATCACAGTAACTTGAAACTTTCAGGATTTATAAATTGAAGTTTCCTCTTTGTAAAAAAGTTAATTTGAAGCCCCAAATTAAATTTGGAAGTTTTTTCTTACATTGGTGCATGCAAAAATGATTTGCAAAAATCACTTGTGCAAAATACTTCTAAGGATCACAGTGACTTGAAACTTTCAGGATTCATGAATTAAAGTTTCTCTTTCATGGAAAACTCAATTGGAAGTGAATTTGAAGCTCTCAATTGAATTTGAAAGGTTTTTCTCATGTTGATGCATGAAGTGTGGAAAATACTTCCAATGAGCACAGTGACTTGAAACCATCAGGATTAATAAATTCAAGTTTTTTTCATATGAAAAAGGTAATTTATTACTACACGCTCACAGCATTATAATCAGTTTGTTACTTTAAGATTGAATGCCATAATATTTCTCAAACATTACATAAAAACTATGTAAAACAGTTGGAAAATCAACTGCATGCTAAATAATCTTTATGGAACTTTGTGAAATCAAAAACAGGCAACACAGAATAATATCCAAAATGCATGACTGTTGATGGATATGAATCTGACGATGCCTAGGATTGGCATTGGATCTCATTTCTCTCCTGTGTACTCGAATCTTGATGGTCCAAAAGTGTTAATTTAGTTAGTTTGCGTTTGCTTTCATTTGATTTATATTGAAACATATTTTTTTTACCCTTACAGACGTAGATCACCTCAAAATAAAAATACTACATGCAATTATAAGTAAAATCTTATAAATTCTAACACTATGACTTTGTCAAAATCTTTCCTTACATATTTTGATAAAATTTAATTAGTTATTGTTTTGTTATACATGTACAGGAGGGTGGTCCAAATTGGATAGAAAAAAATGAACTCCCCACTCTGAGGCTCAAATTTCATGAAATTTTGATTGCTGCAAA